GCCGGAGAGCCCCGCGAGGGAGAGCTGCGAGCAGCGAGAGCGCGGCGCCTGCGGACACGAGGGCACGCTTTTGTCCAAGGCCTCTCGCGTCGTGGTCTGTGAGATCCCAACCGTTTCTCCTCGATCCGGCCCTCTGGGGGCCCAGACCCCCTCGAGTCATGAAACAATCACAACGGAGGGTTTTTCCCCAAACAGCTTGCTGAACGGGGTACTCCGGCCGAGGGAAATCACAGCAGAGACGTCCTAAAAAAAATGTTGTGGTCCGGGCCGTTTCGCTTAATACATCCTCGCAACTCTCCTTTCTGAGTTGTCCGGGATTGGGCGTTTCGCCTGAAACATCCTCCAAATTTTGAGTTCCCAGATGCTGCGCAAGAGGTGGTCTGGCCCGTTTCGCCTGAGACATCCTTCAAATTCTGAGCTCCGAGATGCCGCGCGAGAGATGGTCTGGCCCGTTTCGCCTGAGACATCCTCCAAACTCTGAGCTCCCAGATGCCGCGCGAGAGGTGGTCCGGCCCGTTTCGCTTGAGACATCCTCCACATTCTGAGCTCTGAGAGGCCGTGCGCGAGGTGGTCCGGCGCGTTTCGCCTGAGACATCCTCGCAATTCTGAGTTGTGAAATGCCGCGCAAGCGCCTGAGACATCCTCGAAACTCTGAGCTCCGAGATGCCGCGCGAGAGATGGTCCGGCCCGTTTCGCCTGAGACATCCTCCAAACTCTGAGCTCCCAGATGCCGCGCGAGACGTGGTCCGGCCCGTTTCGCCTGAGACATCCTCGAAACTCTGAGCTCCGAGATGCCGCGCGAGAGGTGGTCTGGCCCGTTTCGCTTGAGACATCCTCGCAACTCTGCGCTCCGAGATGCCGCGCGAGAGATGGTCCGGCCCGTTTCACTTGAGACATCTTCGCACTTTTGCATTCCGAGATGCCGCGCGAGAGGTGGTCCGGCCTGTTTCGTTTGAGGCGTCCTCAAAATTCTGAGCTCTGATATGCCGCGCGCGAGGTGGTCTGGCCCGTTTCGCTTGAGGCATCCTCCAAACTCTGAGCCTTGAGCTGCCGCGCAAGAGGTGGTCTAGCCCATTTCGCTTGAGACATCCTCGCAACTCTGACCTCGGAGATGCCGCCCGCGACGTGGTCCGATCCGTTTCGCCTGAGACGTCCTCCAAACTCTGAGCTGTGAGATACCGCGCGAGAGATGGTCTGGCCCGTTTCGCCTGAGACATCCTCCAAACTCTGAGCTCCCAGATGCCGCGCGAGAGGTGGTCCGGCCTGTTTCGCCTGAGACATCCTCGCAACTCTGAGCTGTGAGATGCCCTGCGCAAGGTGGTTCAGCCCGTCTCGCCTGAGACATCCTCGCAATTCTGAGCTCTGAGATGCCGTGCGCAAGGTGGTCCGGCCCGTTTCGCACAAGACATTCTCGCAATTTTGAGCTCCCAGATGCCGCGCAAGAGGTGGTCCAGCCTGGGGGCCCAGAAGACCACATGTTACATATCCCCCCTGGGAGCCCCAGGAGGCCCCAGAGAGCTTCAGGAGGCCGCAGGATGCCCAGGACAGGCCCCAGGGGTCCCCAGGAGATTCCCAGGAGGCTCCCAGGAGGCCCCAGGAGGCCCCAGAACGTGTCAAATCAATACACATCCCGTGTCAATTCGTTAATTTTTCCTGCTCTTGTGGCCCCCCCTGGGAGCCCCAAGAGGCTTCAGGAAGCCCCGGGTGGGGTCCAGGAGGCCACAGGAGGCCCAGGAGGAAGCTCCAGGAGGTCCCCAGGAGGCCCCAGGAGGCCCCCGCAACTCGGAGCTCTGAGACGCCGCGCTCGAGGTGGTCCGGCCCGTTTCGCGACGTCCTCGCAGCACGTTTCGCCCGAGACATCGTCGCAACTCTGGGGTACGAGATGCCGCGCGCGAGATCGCACTGGCATGTTTTCATGTTCTAACATGCCCGCGCGAGGCCGCAACTCTGGTCATGTTATCATGTTCTAACACGCCATGCCAGCCCGCACTGGACGGCCACGCAATCGACCTTGGAAACCGCAGTGGGTTTAAAAACCCTGTTCGGGGATACTGCACTCCGGCTATAATTGATTATCACTATTTTCAGCCTCTGGAGGCCCTTACTGGGCTTCGGGACCGTCCAAAAACGACTCAGGATGAAAACCCAGTCCTGGGGAATGGGTCGAGACCTCTGGGGCTCAACGCTATGAAAAGCGTGACGCCGGGGGTCTGGGAACCCCGGGCCGTCTCTGCGGCAGAAGACCCCGCACAGCTCTACTTGGGTACTTGCACGATGGGGGGGGGCACGGTGGGGGTTGTTAACGATGGGGGGCCGCGACGGGCCACCGATTTCGGGAGCCAGGGCTATGGGAGACCTCGATGTGCCACCGATTTCGAGGGCCCGGCACCCCTCACCGATTATTAGAATAATATGTTAGGACCTTTACCGACGGGCTACCTGGGCAAAGAACTGCTCGTGGCGAGACCCGGGCCAAAGGCCGCACCATCTGGAGGTCTGGGCACCTGCGCGGCGTCTGGTGGGAAAGCTTCGTGGCAGAGGGGCAAATGGCGAGCCCGAGGCGGGGCTCGGGCGTTTTTGTTTGCAAATGTGGTGGGGCAACACTTCCGCACCCTCTGGCATGGACACCTTCAGTAGTGCGACTGGTCTCAGAAGAGCTCCGCAGGGGACGGAGAACCATCCCGATATCGGCAACACAAAACAGCGCCGACGTGCCCTCATCGTTCGGCTCGACTGCTTCAAAATTCCACTAATGGGGCGAGACCCATCGCCAAAATGCAAAGAGGTCCTGACGGAAACGGGCCCTGCGGCTCTTCGCTGGTTTCGGGCCCTCAGGGCCCCAGGACTGTCACACACTGGCCTGGGGCCCAGGATGAGAATCGAGAAGCCAATGAGTAATGACATAAGCATAGATACTCAGAGGTCCGCGCTGATTTCTTGGATCGGCGCAGAACCCTCCTCCCTGACGCGCAGAGCGCGTCAGAGGCAGTCCCGCAGGCGCCGCCAGGAAGCTCCAGCGCCGATCGAAGAAATCCGCGCGGACCTGCAAAACTCTGCACGCTTCGCGTAACCCCACTAACCCATCCAGAGGCAACGGCCATGCGAGCTGCCCTGATCAGAGACGTGGAGGAGCATGCAGTGGAATAAGGGCTGGTGAAGCCGTCATACCTCAAGGGGGGGAGGATGGAGGAAAAAATCGGAGGAGAAGGAGGAGAAGGAGGAGAAGGACGAGGAGGAGGAGGAGAAGGAGGAGGAGGAGGAGGAGGAGGAGAAGGAGAAGGAGGAGAAGGAGGAAAAGGAGGAGGAGGAGGAGGAGAAATCGGAGGAGAAGGAGGAGGAGGAGGAGGTGGAGGAGGGGAGGAGGAGGAGGAGGAGGAGGAGGAGGAAGAGGAGGAGGAGGAATATGCGGCGGTGGAAGAAGAAAAGGAGGAGCAGGAGAATGCGGAGGAGGTGGAGGAGGGCAAGCAGAAAGGCCAGAGGCCTATTAGATGCCTCTCGGGGTCTCTTCGGATGCCTCTTGAGTGTTTCTTTGAATTCTCTTGGAGCGTCTTGGGGGCCTCTTGGCGGTCCCAGGGGCATTTCTGGGGAGCCTCTTGAGGACCTTGTTGGGGGCTTGTTGGGGTCTCTTGGGGCCTCCTGGGCGCCTCATGGGCCCTCTTGGGAGCCTTGGGGGCAATCTTGAGGCCATCTTGGATGCGTTCGATCAAAGAAGGGGCTGTCCCCAATTAGCGCCGCCCCTCCAGAGCTCCTAACAATGCCTCTTGGACCCCTGTTGGAACGCTCTTGGGCGCTCTTGGATCCGCCGTGAGGCCGTCTTCGGCCTCTCTTGGGGCTCTCTTGGGCCCTCCTGGAGCCATCTTGAGGCCCCGGAGGGCCATCAGAAGCGAAAGGATGTTGGCTTCTTGGCGGCTCTCTTAGGAGTCTCTGTGGCCTCTTGGACCCGTCTTGAGGCAGTCTTGGAGAATCGTAGAAGCCATCTTGAGCGATGTTGCGCTATCTTGGAACCAGATCGGGCCATGTTGGACACTCCAACGACCCACGGCCCCACCCACCCCTCCCAGACCCAGGGGAGGGGTAGGGGGATGGGGTCAAGGTACCCCAAGCCGCAAGCGGTGTCGCTCACTCCTACCCGCCCTCCCAACACATCGGCTGCATCCGATCCTAGGGCCCCGATCCCACTAAGTTCATGAGTCCCGTCGGAAGCACAGAGCAGACAGGATGAGGGCACCCCCGCCGCCCCTGTCAAAAACCAATGCGAAGTGATCATGGGACGCCCGCGCATGATCCAGATTTTGCCGCATGGGCTTTTGTCAGAAATCATGCGCCTGCACAGAGCAGCAGATATGAGGGTACCCCACCGCAGCCCCCTCTGTCAAACACCACTGCAACATGATCGCCGGGTGCCCGCGCATGAACCAGCTTTTGCCATTGTGGGTGTTGCATTGTGTGTTGACAGGGAGTGCGGGTTTGCGCAGAGCAGACATTTTGGGGGCGCCCGCGAATGGTCCAAATTTTGCCGCAAAGTGTATGTTGAAAGGGTTCTGAAATGGATGATAGGCCTGCAAGGGCGGAAACTATGAGGGCACCCCCGCCGCCCTTGCCAAAACAAGCAAAATGCAATGTGCCCTTTGAATATTTTGTTCGATGGGGATGGCGGGGGGGGCCCTCATGGGCCATGGTTTGTCGCCGGTCGCGTGGGGGAGGGCCTCTCCCCGAAGGGAAAGAACGGGGGTTGGAAGTGGAAAGGGAAATTCGCTAAACCACCTCCACCCAGAGGGCTGGTGGGATTTCCCAGCCGACGTGGATACTGTATGGCAGTGGGAGAGATTTCGGGGACGCAAGGAGGTGCTGTGGAAAGCCAGCCCGCGCGCCAACCACCCTACCCCCCACCCTCACCCCGTCTCCACCCATCGATCCACCTTTTGTCGAACCCGCCCGCCCGCTCACCAGTCGCCCACTCACCCATTCTTCGGCCCGTCCGCCCGCCAGTCTTAGCCTTGTCCTCCTGGTGCTACTCATCCTTCTCCCACCTCTTTGTCTGAGGAGTTGGGGCCTGAGGGTCCGTAATTGGCGTTTGGCCCAAGCCAAATTGGTTCATGTGATGGACCGTGTGTGCGTGTGTGTGTGTGTGATCGTCTCTGCCCATCGGCAGCCAATATTGTTTGCCATGCTCAAAGTTGCGTGTGCGCACCATCACTTCGACACATCGTTTTGTTTTGCCGTTGTTCGAGGACGGGGGTCACGGATCCCGTGGTCCAGATGTTGATTCGGCAAACGCTTTCTGGTGCAGCGTACCAGTCATGATCCAGCACCATGTGTTCACTATCAGGAGGACCGTACTGAGCTGTGCCCATAAGTGGCCATACCATCGAAAGATTACCCCACGTGGTGGAGGGCAGCTCTCTGCACTGTTCTGTTCGTTCGTGAGTTCTTGGAGGGGGCCACCGAGCGGACCTACGTTCAGCGAGGCTCTTGCAGCGTATGGCACACAGGCCGAAGCAGATCCTCTGGCACGCCATTATACTTACGCTTTGCGTGGGTCGCAGACAGGACTTTGGTACATTGGTTCCAGAACGTCCGAACGCAGTTTCTTCTCCAGAAGCGGACACAAGTTACATGGGGTCTTCAAGCGATGCGCAGTTCAAGCAAGATCGAAAGCACAAGCTTATATTGACGAAGCATAGCACGCGCGCTGATGCTGTGCAGGCGGAGTGCTTCTTCCACGAGTTTTACAACGTAGGCGCAAACAGTGAGTTTGCCAACCGGGCACGGCAGACATCAATTGGGTTTGACCGTCAGGGTGTGCAGCACAGTGAAAGCTCAAAGCGAAAGATGAGTGCGGCCAAGCGTGGGGACCGACATCATCTCTTTGGAAAGAACCACAGCGAGGAGACAAAGAAAAAGATCAGTGCGGCAAAGCGAGGACAGACCTTCAGCGAGGAGACGAAGCAGAAGATGAGTGCGGCTAAGCGTGGGGACCGACATCCTTTCTTTGGAAAGAACCACACTGAAGAGTCAAAGAAAAAGATGAGCGAGACCCGGCAAGGAAAGACCCTCAGCGAGGAGACGAAGAAAAAGATGAGCGAGGCTCGACGAGGAAAGCTTCACAGCGAGGAGACGAAGCAGAAGATGAGTGCGGCTCATCGTGGGGACCGAAACCCGTTCTTTGGGAAGAACCACAGCGAGGAGTCAAAGAAAAAGATGAGCGAGGCCCAGCGAGGAAAGACCCTCAGCGAGGAGACGAAGAAAAAGATGAGCGAGGCTCGACGAGGAAAGCTTCACAGCGAGGAGTCGAAGCAGAAGATGAGTGCGGCTCTGCGTGGGGACCGACATCCTTTCTTTGGAAAGAACCACAGCGAGGAGACGAAGCAAAATATGAGTGCGGCTAAGCGTGGGAACCGAAACCCTTTCTTTGGAAAGAACCACAGCGAGGAGTCAAAGAAAAAGATGAGCGAGGCTCGACGAGGAAAGCTTCACAGCGAGGAGACGAAGCAGAAGATGAGAGCGGCTAAGCGTGGAGACCGACATCGTTTCTTTGGAAAGATCCACAGCGAGGAGTCGAAGCAAAAGATCAGTACGGCTAATCGTGGGGACCGACATCCTTTCTTTGGAAAGAACCATAGCGAGGAGTCAAAGCAGAAGATGAGTGCGGCTAAGCGTCGGGACCGACATCCTTCCTTTACAAAGAACCACAGCGCGGAGTCAAAGAAAAAGATGAGTGAGGCCCAACGACGAAAGAACCATTGCAAGGAGGCACAGAAACAAATGAGTGAGGCCTAGCGAGGAAAGACCCTCGGCGAGGCTATGAAAGCGAGGCCGAGCGAGGTGTGATCGGCCTCCCCCTCTTCGGGAGCCAGCCGCGCTGAGGAGGCCGAGGGCTCTGCGCCCCGGCAGAGGACGAGCGGGCCCTGTGCGCGAGGAGCGGCGCCTGCCTTCTGGCCCGAGGGCGCGCGTGCGCTTCTTCCCCTGCTCGGCTACACGTGAGAGTGACCTTTCGTCGGAGTGACCTTTAGTTCGGGCACACTGCGGTCCCCAGATGGCCGAATGCGATACGATAGCAGCGGCTTGCGCGCTCTGGTTCGGCCTCCCCACGACCCACAGAAAGTCCACCTAAGGTCACTCTTACCTAGGGTCACTCTTACGTGTGGCCGATCTGCGGCGGCCCGCTCGCAGCTCGAGCGGGGCTCAGATCGCCGCCGCCCTCGGCGCCACCTCGGCCAGCCTCCGTTGGTCAGCGGCAGCCCCTTGCAACGCTATAGGCACGCGGTCGCCCTCAGCACCATGGCGCCGACCTCGGCGCCTTCTGCCTGTCGGCCGCCGCTGCCGCCGCGCCGCGGTGCCCAGCTCCGGGGCGCCGCCGCGCGGGGCGAGAGTCCTAAAGGCGGCCTCCCCTCCAGGAGTCCTCGTCGGACGGGGCTAGGGCGAGGATAAATCCGTTCCAGAGCGTTCGGGAACGCTCTCAGAGCGTTCCGAAATGCTCTGAGAAGGCCGTGGCGCCCGAGACATCCTCCAGAACCGCCAGACCTCAGAGATTCTCGATTTGTCCTCACCCGATGGTATCCTCGCCCTAGCTTCGTCTTACCCCAGATGCCTCCGGATGCTTCTGGAGGCCTCCCGATGCCCCACGTCCGGTCCTCAGGGGCGTGGCAAAGACGTGCGCGCGCATGAGTTCTCACGGACTCTGAGAGAACGCATTCACACGAGCGTTCTTAGCATGAGGGTGGCCTCAGGGGCTGGGGGGGGGGGGGGGGCACATTCTAGACGCTTCGCATAACCTCACCAGCTCATCCAGAAACGATGCCCAAGTGAGTTGCCCTGATCTGGCATTGGGGGAGCACGCAGTGGAATACAGGCTGGGAAGCCGTCATTACCCCAAGTGGGGGAGGATGGAGGAGGAACCAGAGGAGAGGAGGAGGAGGAGGAGGAGGAGGAGGAGGAGGGAGGAGGAGGAGGGAGAGGAGGAGGAGGGAGGAGGGAGGAGGGAGGAGGGAGGAGGGAGGAGGGAGGAGGGAGGAAGGAGGACTAAGCGGATGAGGAAGAGGAAGAGGAAGAGGAAGAGGGCGAACAGAAAGTTCAGAGGCCTCTTGGATGCTTCCAGGAGTCCCTTCGGATGTTTCTGGAGATTATTGTAGGCCTGTCGGGGCGTCTTGGGGGCCTCTTGGCGGCGACGAGGGCCTCTTGAAGCGTCTTGGGTGCCTCGGGGGAGCCTCTTGGGGCCTCTTGGGAGTCTCTTGGGGGCATCGTCGGGGACTCTTGGGGCCTTCTGGGGGCCTCTTGGGGCACTCATGGGAGCTTCGGGGGCCATCTTGGGGACATCATGGAGGCGATCGACCAAAAAAGAGGGGGGTCCAGCGAGCACCCTCCAGAAGGCCAAACTGGGCCCAAGTAAAATCAGTGAGTGTTGCTTTCTCGCCGAGGCCATCTTGGACGCTCTAACCCCCCGCGCCCCCCCCCTCCCCAGCCCAGGTCCAGTACCAGGGAAACGGGGTGGGGGAAACAACTCCCCGAAGGGGGAGAAGGGGGTTGAAAGAGGAAACGCTCTAATCCACTCACGCCCTAAAAGGCCGGTTGGATTCACGGTCGTGTCATTATTTGGGCATCGCAGGCAAACGGGCTCGTCTTCAGCGACATTGGCGCGCAAGCTGCCCGCGCAAGGTCGCGCGTAAGCGCCCTCGTCTCCAATGTAGCGTGCAATTTCGGGGTCCAGCATCTCCGACCGATTCTTAGAAGATTTGTTTAGGATCCTTGCAGACAAGCCACCTGGACAAAGAACTGCTCGTGGCGAGACTTGGGCCAAAGACCGCGCCATCTGGAGGTCTGGGCACCTGCGCGTCGTCCGGTGGGAGAGCCTCGTGGCAGAGGGAGGGGGAATGGCGAGATGGAAGGCGAGGCTCGGGCGGCTTTTTGCAAATGTGGTGGGGCAATGCTGCCGTACCCTCTGGCATGGACACCCTCAGTAGTGAGTCTGGCCTCAGAAGAGCTCCGCAGGGGACGGAGAACCATCCCGACACCGGCAACGAAAAACAGCGCCGACGTGCCCTCATCGTCCGACTCGACTGCCTTCTAGGTCGACCAAATGGCCGAGACCCATCGCCAAGATGCAAACGGGTCTTGTTGGAAGCGGGTCCTGTGGTTCTTTGCTGTTCTCAGGCCCTCAGGGCCCCCTTACGCGCCCCAGCACTGTCACACATTGGCCCAGGATGAAAATCGAGGAGCAAAAAATGGCATGAGCATAAATGTTCCGAGGTCCGCGCTGATTTCTTGGATTGGCGCAGATACCCCCCCCCCCTGACGCACAGAGCGCGCCAGGGGCAGCCCCGCAGGCGCCGCCAGGGGGCTCCAGCGTCGATACGAGAAATCCGCGCGGCCCTCCACAAACTCTAAAAGCTTCGAATAAGCCCCCCAGCCCATCCAGAAACAATGGCCAGGAGAGTTGCCCTGATCAGGGACGTGGAGGAGCATGCAGTGGAATAAAGGGCTGGGGAAGCCGTCATACCCCAAGAGGGGGAGGATGGAGGAGCAACCAGAGGAGCAGGAGGAGGAGGAGGAGGAGGAGGAGGAGGAGGAGGAGCCCCCCCGCCGCAGGGCGCCCGCGCATGATCCAGATGTTGCCGCATGGGTGTTGTCAGGGATGGTGCGCTTGCACAGGCCAGCGAGTAGGAGGGCACCCCACCGCAGCTCCCTCTGTCAAACACCACTGCAACATGATCGCCGGGCGCCCGCGCATGGACAATTGTTTGGCCACACGGTGTGTTTTGCACTGTGTGTGGACAGGGAGTGTGGCTTTGTGCGGAGAGGGCATTTTGAGGGCATTGACGCCATCCCGGTCAAAAACCAATGCAAAGTGCTCACGGGGCGCCGTGCACGGTGCAGACTTTGCATCGACCTGCACAGGGCGGACGATAGGAGGGCACCCCCGCCGCCCCTGTCAAAAACCAATTTAGAGTGCTCGCGGGGTGTCCGCACACGGTCCAGATGTTGCAGCACCATGCACTTTGTTTGTTTTGTTGGCAGGGATGGTGGGGGGGGGGCCCTCATTGGCCTTGGTTTGTCGCCGGTTGGGTGGGGGAGGGCGTGTATACTGGAAAGAAGCAGTGATGAACCCCTCCCCGAAGGGGAGGACGGGGGATTGGAAGAGGAAACTCGCTAAACCACCTCCGCTCAGAGGGCTGGTGGGATTCCCCAGCCGACGTAGATACTTTATTTCTGGCAGCGGGAGAGAACTCGGGGACGCAAGGAGGTGCCTTGGAAAGCCAGCCCGTTCCTCCTGGTGCTATTCATCCTTCTACCACCTCTTTGTTTGAGGAGTTGGGGCCTGAGGGTCCGTGATTCACTTCTGGCTCAAGCCAAATTGGTTCATGTGATGGAGCGTGTGTGTGTGTGTGTGATCGTCTCGGCCCATCGGCAGCCAATATTGTTTGCCATGCTCAAGGTTGCGTGTGCGCACCCTCGTTTCGACTCATCGTTTTGTTTTGCCATTGTTCGAGGACGGGGGCCGCAGATCCAGTGGTCCAGATGTTGACTCGGCAAACGTCTTCTGGTGCAAAGTATCCGTAATGATCCAGCACCATTTGTTCACTATCAGGAGGACCGTACTGAGCTGTGCCCATCGGTGGCCCTACCATCGAAAGGTTACCCCACGTGGTGCAGGGCAGCTCTGGGCACTGTTTTGTTCGTCCGTGAGTTCTTGGAGGGGGCCACCAAGCGGACCTACTTTCACCGAGGCTCTTGCAGCGTATGGTACACAGGCCGAAGCAGATCCTCTGGCGCGCCATTACACCTACGCTTTGCGCGGGTCGCAGACAGGACTTTGGTACATTGGTTCCAGAACGTGTCCGAATTCAGTTTCTTCGCCGGAAGCGGACACAAGTTATATGGGGTCTTCAAGTGATACGCAATTCAAGCAAGAGCGAAAACACAAGCTTATATTGACGAAGCATAACACGCGCGCTGGCGCTTTGGAGGCGGAGTGCTTCTTGCATGAGTTTTATAATGTAGCCGCAAATTGTGAGTTTGCCAACCGGGCACGGCAGACCTCACTTGGATTCAATCGTCAGGGGGTGCAGCACAGTGAAAGCACAAAGCGACAAATGAGCGAGATCCGGCGAGGAAAGCTCCACAGCGAGGAGACGAAGCAAAAGATGAGTGCGGCTAGGCGAGGAAAGACCCTCAGCGAGGAGACAAAGAAAAAGCTGAGCGAGACCCGACGAGGAAAGCTCCCCAGCGATGAGACGAGGCAAAAGATGAGCGCGGCTAAGCGTGGGGACCGACATCCTTTCTTTGGAAAGAACCACACCGAAGAGTCAAAGAAAAAGATGAGCGAGACCCGGCGAGGAAAGATCCTCAGCGAGGAGACGAAGAAAAAGATAAGCGAGGCCCTGCGAGGAAAGCCCCACAGCGAGGAGGCGAAGCAGAAGATGAGTGCTGCTAAGCGTGGGGACCGACATCCTTTCTTCGGAAAGAACCACACTGAAGAGTCAAAGAAAAAGATGAGCGAGACCCGGCAAGGAAAGACCCTCAGCGAGGAGACAAAGAAAAAGATTAGCGAGAGCCAGCGAGGAAAGACCCGGAGCGAGGAGACGAAGCAACGGATGCGTACGGCGAAGCGTGGGGACCGAACCCCCCTCTCAGGAAAGCACCGTGCCGATGAGACGGAGAGAAGGACAAGTAAGCCGACGTGCGGGCAGCAGCTCTGACGAGACGAAGCAGCGCACAGGCCAGGCTTCGCGCGGGAGCCGAGGAAGCGGCCGATGGAGTAAGCCTGTGCGCGGGGCTGGCGCCCTCCCCTCGGAGGGCGGCGCGTGCAGGAGGCGAGGCAGAAGCTATGAGAGCGAAGCTGAGCGAGGTGCGATCGGCCTCCCCCTCTTCGGGAGCCAGCCGCACTGAGGAGGCCGAGGGCCCTGCGCCACGAAGCTCGGACATCCCTGGCCGCCGGCGCACGGAGGCAGTGGGCAAGCGGGCCCTGTGCGGGAGGAGCGGAGCCTGCCTTCCGAGAGCAAAGAGGAGAGAGTAGGCGCCCCGGTGGGCCCTGCGGAGCCCCGGGGCCCCAAGCGCAGCCGACGCGCGGAGGCGGCAGAGGACGAGCGGGCCCCGTGCAGCGCCAGATAGGCACGCGGTCGCCCTCGTCACCACGGCGCCGACCTTGGCGCCTGCTCAGCCTGTAGGCCGCCGCCGCCGCCGTGCCGCGGCGCCCAGCTCCGGGGCGCCGCCGCGCGGGGCGAGGATCCCAAACGCCGCTTCCCCTCCAGGAGTCCTCGTCGGACGGGGCTAGGGCGAGGATGAGTCCGTTCCAGAGCGTTCGGGAACGCTCCCAGAGCTTTCCGGAACGCTCTGAGAAGGCCACGGCGCCCGAGACATCCTCCAGAACCGCCGGACCTCAGAGATTCTCGATTTGTCCTCACCCGATGCTATCCTCGCCTTGGCTTCGTCTTACCCCAGATGCCTCCAGATGTTTCTGGAGGCCTCCCAATGCCTCACGTCCGGTCCTCAGGAGCGTGACACAGACGTGTGCGCGCATGAATTCACGCGGGCTTCGGGAGAACGCATTTACGCAAGCGTTTTTAGCATGAGGGTGGCCTCGGGGGCTGGGAGGGAAATTCTAGACGCTTCGCATAACCCCACCAGCCCATAGAGAAACGGTGCCCAGGCGAGTTGCCTTGATCAGGCCTGGGGGGGGAGAACGCAGTGGAATACAGGCTCGGAAGCCGTCATACCCCAAGAGGGGAAGGATGGGGGAGAAACCACAGGAGGAACCAGAGGAGGGGGCGGAGGAGGAGGAGGAGGAGGACGAGGAGGAGGACGAGGAGGAGGAGGAGGAGGAGGAGGAGGAGGAGAAGGAGGAGGAGGAGAAGAAGAAGAAGAAGGCGGAGGAGGAGGAGGAGGAGGAGGAGGGGAGGGAGGGGGAGAGGGAGGAGGGGAGAGGGAGGAGGGAGGAGGGAGGAGGGAGGAGGAGGATTAGGCGGATGAGGAAGAGGAAGAGGAAGAGGGCGAAGAAAAAGGCCTGAGGCATCTTGGGTGTGTGTCGGAGTCTCTTCGGATGCCTCTTGGAAGCTTCTTGTAGGCCTGTCGGGGCGTCTTGGGGGCCTCTTGGCGGCCATGGGGGCCTCTTGAAGCGTCTTGGATGCCTCGGGGGAGCCTCTTGGAGCCTCTTGGAGATCTCTTGGGAGCCTCTTGGGGGCATCTTCGTAGCATCTTGGGGACCTTTTGGAGCCTCCTGGGGGCCTCATGGGGCCCTCTTGGGGCACTCTTGGGAGCTTGGAAGCGATCGACCAAAGAGGGGGGAGGATCCAATTATGCCCCCCCAGAGGCCAAAATGAGCCCAAAGCCTTACGACGATATGTGAGTTCTGCTTTCTCGCCGAGGACATCTTTGACTCTCTATAACCCCCCGCGATCCCATCCCCCCTGGTCCAGGGCCAGGGGGAGGGAGGGGTAAGCTTCTTCCCCAGTGGAAGAGGAAACGGTCTAAACCACTCACGCCCAGACGGCTGGTTGGATTCACGCTTGTGTCATGATTTGGGCGTCGCAGGCAAACGGACGGGGTCGTCTTCACCGACATTGGCGCGCAAGCTGCCCGCGCAAGGTCGCGCGCAAGCGCCCTCGTCTCCAATGTAGCGTGCTGCGCGGCCCGCGTAGTCCCAGTTAGTGATTGGGCCCAAGAGCAAAACGAATTGCCAGAATCGCTAAACCAGGTTTGCCGTAGCTGGCGTTTTTTCGGGTGACGGCAGCTCCGGTTAGTGGAATGGGGCGGGGGAGGCGCCCCCAAGCACACATCATGAAACCAGGTCCCACTCAACCCGGTCCTGCCAAGGCCCCGCTTCTGTTCCCCGAGAAGAGTCGATCCCGGAGCAAAGCCCTCAGGGCCCGCTCCCTGCAGAGCCCTCTGGAGCAGAGCCGCGCCCAGGGCACCGCCCGGCACCGCCCGCCCCCCGGCGGAGGTCACCGCGCCTTCGTGCCCCCGCTGGCGAACCCTCCCCCGCCGAGGCTGGCCGCCCCCTCCTCGTTTTGCCGGATTGCGCAGGGCAGGGGGGAAGCAGGATCGGACGGGGCGGCCGGCATCAACGATGCCCTGGCGACGTATCGGCCATTCGAGGTCGACGCATCTCCCTCCCTGTACCCATCCCCCCCCCCATCGTTGCTCCTCACGTGCAGCATCCTTCTGGGCGCAGGTGGCGAGGGTCATCCCAGGGGGGTCCGCCGAACCCATCTCCTCTGGCTGACGCGGACCTTGGTCGGATGGGGCTAGCGCGAGGATAAGTCCGTTCCAGAGCGTTCCGGAACGCTCTCAGAGCATTCCGGAACGCTCTGAGAAGGCCGCGGCGCCCGAGACATCTTCCAGGGCCGCCGGACCTCAGAGACCCTCGATTTGTCCTCGCCCTGGCTTTTCGTCTCACACGAGCTGGCAGACCAGAAGAGGGGCAGTTAGCCGTCAGGGGTCCGCGGTACATCGCCGATGAGTCGCCGACGGGCCCCCGAGGCGGGCTGGGAGCACCCAAGCCCCGATCGGCGACGACCAAGCGCGCAGGCCGGCCGGCCAGCCCAGGAACTCCTCGGTGGACGCAGCACGTGCCAGGCACGAACCGCACGCTCTTGGCCGCCAGCGGGAGAGGCGGCGCTCTCCGAGCTCTCGCGGAGGAGGAGGAGGAGGAGGAGGAGGAGGAGGAAGAGGAGGAGGAGGAGGAGGAGGAGGAGGAGAAGGAGGAGGAGAAGGAGGAGAAGGAGGAGAAGGAGGAGAAGGAGGAGGAGAAGGAGGAGAGGAGGAGAAGGGGAAAGGAGGAGGAGAAGGAGGGAGGGAGGGAGGGAGGGAGGGAGGGAGGGAGGAGGAGGAGGAGGAGGAGGAGAAAAAAGGGGCCCAGATCTCCGTCGATCGGACTTTTCGCTCCAGGCGTGTCGCCTCGACTTCGGCGCCGCGGGGCCCCCTCGCTGGGCCCCGGACGGATGCGGGGCGGAGAGCTACCTCTGGAGAAGAGGTCGGGGCGCTCTGCGCCGCGGGCTCGCAAAGACCACGTCGGAGAAGTGAGGAGAGGAGGAGGAAAACGATCGAGGGAAAAGGAGGAGGAGGAGGAGGAGGAGGAGAAGGAGGAGAAGGAGAAGGAGAAGGGGAAGGAGGAGGAGGGCAGCGAGAAGGGGAAGGGAGGGGAAAGGAGGAGGAGGAAGGATGGTGGGGAGGGACGGAAAGCGGAGGAGGCAGGAGGAGGAGGAGGAGGGGGAAGGGGAGGAGAAGGAGGGAGGGAGGAGGGGGCAGGAGAGGGGAGGGGGCCGTTTCGCCCTGGGGGGCTGGCGGAGGGCGGCGGAGGCAGAAGATGGCACCCGGTGGTCGGCGATTCGAAGATAGGGCCCTGGGGGGCAGGGCCCTGAGGGCGGGCGAGAACTTCAACACAGTGAGGAAGAGGAGGAGGAGGAGAAGAAGAAGAAGAAGGAGGAGGAGGAGAAGGAGGTGAAGGAGAAGGTGAAGGAGAAGGGGAAGGAGGAGGAGGAGGAGGAGGAAGAGGAGGAGGAGGAGGGGAAGAGAGGTGAGGAGGAGGAAGAGGAGGAGGAGGGATAGGAGGAGGAGGAGGAGGAGGAGGAGGAGAAAAAAGAGGAGGAGGGATAGGAGGAGGAGGAGGAAGAGGAGGAGCGAGAGGAGCAGATCTCGAACCCTGGAGGCCTCCGCTCTACCCCCTCCCCGCTGGCTCAGGACTCTTGGGGCGCCCGTTCCTGGCAGGACTTCAGACGGTGAAGAGCCCACTTCTGATCCACTTCCCATCCGTAAAGCCACATCCCTCGGGGCCCCACCTGATTACTCTATATATATGTATGTTATATGATGTGTACGTGTGTGTGTGTGTGTTTTCATGGGCGTCTGGGATTCCGCAACCAGGCCGCCCAGAGAAGGAAACAGAGATCATTGGCCGCCCACGGCTTGCGATTGAGCTTGGCTGCTCCTCGCTGTCGGCATTATCTGGACGCTCGGTTCGTGTCCTTACTACTTACCAAACCAACCCAACCCAATCCGAAGGTCCCAGACCCTCCCACATTTCGGATTGGGGGGTGCACGGGTTCCATCGCGTGTCCTCGATGTTCTGGAGCGCCCCACCCGCACCAGAAATTGACGACCCCAACGGTGACGTTGGGTTGGGTTGGGGTGGTTTGGTAGGTCGTCATTTTCCTCACCGTTCCCTCGGCCTTGCACGTGTTCGATTGCTTTTGCCGCGTCATGCTGGGGCCGAAGTGCCTACATGTGCGGCGGCGACCCCGCCGCGGGCGTCCTAGGCCGAACGCCGCCAGCAGCCCAGAGACGGCCAACGTGGAACGACCCGGCAACCGAAGAGCAGCCGATCGTTGTGGTTGCGACGGCTTCGGAGGGCCGGATCGGACCCCGGCATGCAGGAGGGGGGTGTGGACTGGGGGGGGCATATCGTGGCCAGGGCCATGATATCTCCAAGATGGCATGGCATCCGTTCTCCTCTCAGCGCATGCCCTGGCCCCCCACTCGTCCGCGCACACGCTTCTCGGGCCATGACGCGCACCCCCTCCTCCCCCTAGGCCCCCTCGCCGTTCGATGGTGCGCGTTTGCGACGTCAGCCTACCATCGACCCTTCGTGTTTCACCTGCTGCCCCGCTCCCCTCAGCGCAAGCCCTCTTCTACAATATGTAAGTGTAGGTCCTCTTCCAAGGGCCCGAGAAAGGCTGCCGCGCGCGCAATGCAGCGTGCAATCGAGGCAGCTCGAAGGCAAGCTTGCACGGTTGAACACTGTTGAATGGGCATCGACGGCCTAGGTAAGGATGGGCGAGTGGCAAACAAGCATCACTTACGAGCGAGGCCCAGCGCTAGTTGAGGGCACTGTCTCGAGGACAGTTCGGCGGACGGAGGTGCGCTCGCGCCACATCTGACATCCTATTCCTCCCAGACGCGGACGCGTGTCATAGCCGACGTGGAACTCCCAAAACAAGACCCCTATCGTTTTATGCGGAATTGGAAAAGGGGAGATGCGAGCATGGGAGAAGGAGGTGGCGGGTGAGCAGGATGATGAGCAGGGGGAAAAGGCGGATGGAAAGGAGGAAGATGTGCAAGGAAGAGGACTAGGACGAACAGCAGCAACAGGAATCGGAGTGGAAGGAGCGGGAGGAGCAGGTGGACCATGGGAAGGCGGAGGAGGGGAAATGAAGCGACAACGATGACGAGGAATTCGGATCCAGAAAAGGGGTCCGCGCTGGGCGAGAGTCCATTCTGAACGACGGTAG